AGACGTAACAATACCATATACAATACAAAATTATCCTTTAACCTCGAAAAATACTTTATACCCTTTAGCTTTAAAACACTACGTGTAAGTACTCACAATCGCAAGAGGTAAGAATAAATAAATAAAATACAGGGATACAGGGATCAACAGTAGTACAGACTCCTGCTGCTGAGTACTTGGAGGCAAGGCTCCTCCCGATGAGATAGCATCGAATCTGATGGTTCAATGCTGGGAACTTCCCAGTGGCATTAGTGCCTTCATTAGCCATCATAGACAACTTGACCCATGGAGACATTCGTGCCAAACTGTTTACTGATATAGCGAACTCTTCCAAGTCAGACGTGTTGGTAAACAATGCATCTTCTTCCACGGACTTGCTAATAGTAAACATTAAACTGACACTCTCCATCTTTTCTTTGACTCCACTCCCCTTGGTGTAGAGGAAATTCTGGACACTTTCGAGCAGCTGTGAGACTTTAAAGGTTGAGGTATACATGATAAGTCAGTTGAATCAATCAGGAATGGGATTGGAACTCTGAAGTACTAGAACAAATCAGATTGAAGTTCAAAGTGAGAGACTGACTATGGCTGGAATTTGATCTTGAATACTGAAAGTCCAGATTCAAATGCAAAGGTTGATTAAATGATCAAATGTTCAGCCAAGTGCATGGATTAAGGGCTGTCATAATATTCAGTTACGACCTTGAACTAGATTCTGGTCAAGTAAGACGTCTAAAGGCTTAATGTGTATTCATGACCTTGTGCCCAAAGAACTTGAGGACTTCTGTAGCTTCCCTGAATTTTCATTTCACCAGCTATCTGTGGCCATGATGTCCTCTGTTGCCCCTGCTGGACAAGGGGAACACACACACGCCAAACTATCTGACCTGGCCCCTAGTCTACTGCCTGGTTGTCATGTAGACAGAGCCTAGGAATGAAGATAGAAATTGTTCAGGTCCTACATAGGCGAGCTACATGTTAGGTACTGCTAATCTCACTTTTGACCATTAGCCTTTACCAATGCTTTCATTGTCTTTTCTAAATAGAAACTTTCTTCCATGTACTAACTGTGTAACAATTATGACACAAATTACAAAGTTTTACCGTATAAGTGGTATGTTATGCAGAGTTCCACTACCCAGCTAGATTGTTGGAGTGATTTTGTCGAACAAATGAATAGCTTTCGAATCAGAAAACTCACCCAGTCTTTATTAGGATAGCAAGTTCTCTTCAACCGTTTTTTCAATTACATGATTGTTCTTACTGTTGATAATCGAGTGATAATGCTACAATGTAGTGCATGTATTATATCCTAACATCATTCGAAAACTTGAAAACCTAGACACACTACATTCTTTCAGTCCGTAATCATGCAAATCAGTGACTGTCCTAACTGTCAATAATCTAGTAAAGGCCACAAAATGTAGGTCGCACATTTTGCCGGACTTCATTACCCAGTAGCTCAGAAAGCAAGGCACGCCACTAACTTTCAGTCATCAGTGGTGCAATCTAATAACTATCTCAGCTGTGATGATCGAATTAATCCGGCACTGGGTGAGATTACTGACCGAAAGGGCGTCGTGAGCCCTTACTGTCCAAGCCATCAAATACTATTGAAAGCACAATGTATACACTACATTGCAGAGTAACTGGTGTATCTTGGGCCCTTCAATCACGAACCTGACATTCAAAGATAAACTCAAACAATTCAACAAGAATATATCAAAAATATTTATTCCGTTTTTAACAAAATGATAAATTCCCTTTTTATTAAAATCTTATTGAAACCAAACTAATATAATACAATTTTAAACACAATTTATCTATGAAATGTTTAAAATTTTGGAATAACTATAAACTCAATACGATGTAATAATTAAAGCAACATTGCACCCGCACAGTAGCGTACAATCTAAACTACCTTAGAAGAAAAAAAATGTTTTTGTACATTGATATTTTGTGTCATCTTTAATCTAAAATGTATCAAATTTCAACGGAAAAAATTTAGCAGTAGTAATTTAAGGAAATTTTGGCACTGTTTAAATGAACCTCAACTCATTCAAGGAACCTTATTCATTATGCTGCCATCATGGATCTCTTTCTGGTCTAGGTCCCACGCGCGTGCGTGTTTAACGTACCTTAATCTGGCTCTGTTCTAACCCTTTAGTAATAAAGTTCCTAAAGTACTTCAACAATCCAAACAACATGGATCCTTATTGTGATATAAGTAACTTCAGACATGTTAAAAACAGCATGTGTACTTGCACTATTCTTTAATTTAGAGAAGCTGACTTAATGTAATGCAATCGTATTAGTCTTTTTCGAAGAAACTTGTTTCAAATACTGGGAGAAGTTGAAGATAGTTGAAACTGTAATTTACTTTAAGATTGGCCAATTTGTCCATGTTGTTGAATAGTAAAAGTCTTTAGTAAAACGATCACTGTATTTGGTTGGCTTCCAAATTGCACGTCGTGCTGTTAAAATTCATTTTTTACAGACTTAACCATTTGAAAATGGAAGGCTAAAATCAATAAGAAAAACCCTTTGGAAACACGTCCTAGCAATAAACTACTCCTTAAAACAGAGAACAGTACATCACAGTCTAAGAAGCATAACAAAGAAACATACATACCCACGCACAATGTTCCCTCTAATTTTTTTTCAATCCATGTGCGGAATGAATTTTCCCATGTGCACCAGTATCAAGGCAATGTGCGAATGTGCGCTACCAGTTTTTTTATAGGGGGGGGGGGATTTTTAGACCATCGATCCTATTGGATCATTAGGTCGCTTTGTAATGCTATCAGTTGGTTATTTGAACTCTAGGCCTATCGACTGCCAGGGTCATTAAGGCCGTCAGTGTGTTGAGACTCCTCACCATTATTGAGGATGTGCGCGGCTAGAATAATGAAGTGTGTGGCAATTGATTGGTAGTTGTGGCACCGCGCAGCTGTTCAGCTTAGAGGAAACACTGCCTATGCATTCGCTTTGGTTTCAAAACATGTTAAGTGAAAACAAAGTATATACAAATTTGCAATAAATGTTAAGCATTTACAAAATTAAACTAATCTACATTCATAAACCAGTACTAAAAACATACATATCCATTCACCTGTGGAAGTGAATGGAGCTGCCATCTTTCTTTCGATGATTTGTACATCCAACTGCTACGCATGAAACAACCATTTTGTTGCTTTAAAGCACAAATGCTGTCAGTTCTCAAAGCTCACTGCCCTAAAGGTTATATTTCGTAATCTGAGGGTCGCGGGTTCGAATACCAATCACCAAACATGCTCGCCCCTTTTAGCTGTGATGGCATTGTAATGTCATAGTTAATCCCACTATTCGTTGGTAAAAGAGTAACACAAGAGTTGGTGGCGGGTGGTGTAGACTAGTTGTCTTCACTCTAGTCTATTACTGCTAAATTAGGGACGACTAGGCGGGCTAGCACAAATAGCCTTCGTGTAGTTTTGCGAGAAATTTAACAAAACAAACAAACAAAATCGTAACTGTCAGTATATCAGTATATATATCTTATACCGACGTGACTGTCATACTTTCACACACAAAAAATACTTAAAGGTGTGTATGTGTTTTGATGTCACATAAAAAACGGTGTATAAAACAAAAAATAATAATAAAGAGACTCTTCAATGAAATATAATCTGCATGTAGATAGTACAGTATTTTACTATAATAAAACATACATATTGTTACGACAGCGGAAGTCACGTGAATCTGGTAACACGTCATGAATTTCTAGAAGGATCATGACTTTTCTTGGCAACTCTAGTCCCTCTATTTAATTAATTTCCAGTAATTCTTTCCGAATAACTTTAGTGATACAAGCCCTTTCTCAAATAAAACTAATTTATTCTTTCTTAACACAACTTTGCAATACACAGAATTTCCACA